GGTGTTCAGGAGCCAGGGGCTCCTGGCCTTGAGGCTCAGGCAGGCCCCAGGGGGGATGGTTGGGGACTGTCCCCAAAGCACAGAGAACTGATCCTGTAAAGAGCCAGGTTATCACCCAAGAAGATCCCCAAGTCAGGAGGCAAGAGCCGTGGGCCCGGGGGCAGCTGTGAGTTTTGCGGGAAGCACTTCACCAACAGCAGCAACCTCACAGTGCACAGGCGCTGGCACAGGGCGAACAGCCCTATGCCTGTGACCAGTGTCCCTATGCCTGTGCCCAGAGCAGCAAGCACAACTGCCACCGCCGCATGCATGGCCTGGGGCCTGGCAGCACCTGCTATGAGTGCCCACACTGCTGTGTGCCCTTCGGCCTGCAGGCCACCCTGAACAAACACCTGCGCCGGAAACACCCTGAGGTGGCCTGAGAGCTCAAGTGCTGCCCCTCACTCTGTCCATGTTCTGTGTCCCTCCTTGTCCTTCCATGTTAGTAAATGTCATCCACTATTTTAAAAAAAAAAAGAAGATGCATGACTCAAGTGATGCACTTACTTAGTATGCATGAGGCCTTGGGTTCAATCCCCAGCACTACAATGTTAAGTAAATTAAATAATAACAAAACAAGCACAAGAGAGCAAATAAGAAAAAAGAAGGGGAGGGAGGTGGCCCAAATAATGCATACACATGTAAGTAAATGTAAAAATGTTAAAAGAAAATAAAAAAGGAAAACAAAAGTTAGAAAAAATAAAATAAAATCAGATGAGTTTTCACAAATGTAGATGCCTGTGAAACCATGGCCATAATCAATACAATGAACTTATTAAACACCCCAAATTGAGAACTGTTTTTTTTCTTTTTGCAGTATTAGGGATGGAATCCAGAGCATCATTCATGCTAGGGAAACACTCAACCACTGAGCTACATCCCTGAGAACTGGTTCTTTTTTTTTTTTTTTAATTTTAAATTACAACCCAGTAGTCGTTTGTAGAATCACCTTGATGAGAGACAAATTGATGAGAGGCAAATCTGGATGACCCTGGCGGTTCATTTTCTTCCCCTTTTTCAGTAGCACAGCTGAGAGTTGGCTGTTCTGGACTGAGATTCTATCTGTGGGAAGACCAGGCCTTTGGCTGATGTCAGCTTTCCTGGCAGGAAAGGCTGTTCCTAAGGCGTTTTGTATGCAGACCTTGGTCCTGGTTCTGCACATTCCCTAACATTGTTCCTGATTTAGGAAACACTGATATATTTCTTGTTACTTACAGAAATTAGGTATTTCCCAGTGTGAAGGTAAAGTTCATTGTTCTCTTGAAGAACCCTGCTTTGCTGGGACTTTAACTGTAGTTCATGTAGAATGTCTATGACCACCGTTGTGCTATAGATCAAGGAGAGTTCAGGAGACTGTGTGGACTCTGCTTCTTCTCTGCTTGTTTGTAACTTCCCTGCACCCCTATAAACCCTGTGCTACATCTGCATTCTATGGTGTGTCAGAAGGTGGCTCCCTAAATATCACCAACTCAGACTGTTGATAAGACAAAGCTGGGTTTATTGTTTACTGGGTAAAGGAGAACATCACCTCTGTAAAGATTTAGCAGTGTCTCAGAGAGTGGGTGGCAAGGTCACAAAGGGAATTTTGGTTTGTGGTAGGTCTTTCAATGTAGGGATTTGATTTGGGTTAAGACAAAGATTTTGATGAAGAGTTTAGGATTGGTGGAAACAGCAAGGTAAGGATTTTGAGGTGAGGGATTCAAAGAATCTTAGGGAATTTCAAACTCTGTTCGTGCTTTCCATTGAATAGTTGATGGAATGTTCCTGAGATGGATTTCTTTTTCTTTTTTTCTTTTTGTTACTGGGGTTTGAAGTCAGGGCTTCACGTTTGCTAGGCAGGCACTCTACCACCTGAGCCACTCCACCAGCCAGAATGTTCCTGTGCTGAGCAATGGTGCCATTTGCCTAGGCAGGGGAGTTCTAGAAAAGTAAAGCCATGCTAATGATAATAGTAGACCAGCAAGTCATGTTGGGTGTTTAGGTTGAATAAGGGTACAGAAGGTTTTGCTTTTCAGGTGTTAGTTGTATATGTCCATAACCTCCTTATATGGCAGTGATAAGCAGCATTTTTCAAAAAAACAATGAAACTAAGAAAACTAGAGTTGAATTGATTTTTTTTTTGGCATTGCTGTAAATCGAACCCAGGGTCTCATACAAGCTAGGCAAGACACTACCATTCTTAGCCCTAGAGTTGAACTGCATTTAATAAATGTATTGTTTTGTGCAACATTTGTTTCAGTTATACTTGCATGAAATGATTTATGAAGCAAAATGTATTTCTTACAAAGAATCTGGACTGAAAAAAAGTTTGAAGGCTATTGCCTTATGAAGATACTGATAGACCTCCTAAAAGAGATGATCTCTTTCTCAGTAACTTGTGCTGAAGATTGGAACAGAGGCCCTGTTTGGGTAGATTAAGAGGTTGACTGGAAATTTTGAATCCATAATGCTTTTACCATTTCCACAGGGACCATACTGCTACTAAAGCATGAAAGATAGAGACTAGGCAAGAACAATTTATTTATTTATTTATTTATTTTTGGTGATACTGGAGTTTAAACTCAGGGCCTCTGGCTTGCTAAGCAGGTGCTCCCTATCACTCCAGCCACTCCACTAGCAGACAATTTATTTTTTAAAGAACAAGTTATTACATTGTTACCATGTAAAACAAACTCTCAAAAAGGCTTTATACTGAGATTCAGTCTACTTAGACAGGGGACTGGACAAAATGACCTCTGAGTGCCCTCTCATTGAGAGAACATTATATTATCCTCTACAGAGGAGTATAAAACACAAGCAGGCAGTTACTTTGAGGTGTGTTAGTTGGCAATCACCTCACAGTATGTGGTTTTGAGGCACTCCTGGATAGAATAATAGATGTGGCATATTGGCCAATTAAGAGCTTCCTTTTTCAAATGGATTATCTACTACTTCTCTGAGGAAATTCAGCCACTTTAGGGATTTGGAAGGCTTGGAGGTTTGGAAAGAACAGTCCCCCTAATCAGGCCTGAAATTCCCCAGGGGGGTCCATTTCTTTGCCTAAGGCACTGACTCTCCTTTGTTCAAGCATTTCAGCCTTTTGCATAGCTTTTGTTTTCTTTTGCTTTCCTGTTTATCAAAAAAAAAAAAAAAAGCTAAGAGTTCTTTCTACTTAGGAACAGAAAACCCAAGAAACATTGCAGCACTACCTTGGGAGCTCATGTGCTTTGTTCAAGAATCATTCAATAAACAAGGATTAAAGATAATAGGGATCCAGGTGGGCATGAAGGCTGACTTCTGTAATCTCATCTACTTGGGAAGTAGAGGCAGGATCATGAGCTCCAGGCAAAGATGGTGGGGAGATCCTGTTTCAAAAACAGTCTGGTGGAGTAGCTCAAGTGGTAAAGTGCCTGCCCTGAGTTCAAACCTCAGTACTGCTAAAAAATTTTTTTTAAAGGGCTGTGGGCATGGGCGAGTGGTATAGTGTTTGCCTACCAAACATGAGGCCCTGGGTTCAATCCCTAGCACTGCAAAAGATAATTGGGGTCTGAGGCTGTGTTAAGCCCTGGGGACCCCTGCTTTTGAAGCTCTCATGGTTTGCAGGAGATCTGTAAATAGGAAGAACACAGCCCATGTCTGAGGATTGTAGACAGAGCCAGTGCTACACAGAGCTATGAGAAAATCACATTTCCCTCCTTTTCCTGTTGTTTGTAGTAAAAATAATAGTAAAGTTTATTAGGAAAGGCATTTAGTATAACAAGATAAAAGTGGGGAGAATGCAGGAAATGGGAGTAGAGACTCCTTCCCCCCCCTTTTTTTTAAATTTTGGCGGTACTAGGGTTTGAACTCAGGGCCTACAACCTTGAACCACTCCTCCAGCTCTTTTTTGTGTGATGGGCTTTTTTTCAAGATAGGGTCCCGGAAACTATTTGCCGGAGCTGGTTTCGAACCGAAATACTCCTGATTTCTGCCTCCTGAGTAGCTAGGATTACAGACGTGAGCCACCCGTGGGGGGCTATGGGAGATATTCTTTGTGTGTGTGGTACTGGGTTTGAACTCAGGGCCTCACGCTTGTCAGGCAGGCGCTCTTCCACTTAAGCCACTCTACCATCCCTTATGGAAGATATTCTTAAAGTTGTCGGCTGGAGTTCACTAATGTGGTAAAAACAACTGTTTTACTGGCTGATATACCTGTCAGTGAAATCAACAAATGATTTTCTGGGTGGATGTATGTAGTGAGACCCTGCCTCAAATGAATAAGCAAAAAGTCCTACAATTTTAAGCTATGAAACAGAAGTCTGGAGTCCAGACTAAAACCCTCACCATACATATAGATAAAAAGAACTGGAACTTAGAGGGGCAGAGGTTTGTTCAATGCCACTTAGTTAGTGACAAAACTCAGGTAACGCTAGAACCCAGGTCTGTATTCTGTCAAGCTCTCATTCAAGTCATTTTGGCCTCATATCGCTGTGCAACAACATGCTGGTACCAATTCAGAAGGCAGTGCCCTGCCTACTTGCCATGAAAGCAGTTTTTTCAACCCAACCATACCTATTTATATGTTAATTAGATATTTTCTCTGTAGTTCAGATTCAGTGTCCAAAGTGTTCTACCGGATTAAGTACTGATTCATGGAAATAAAAACATAACTAAAAGCACATTTCCAGGAAGTATACTAGTCGATCACAGTCCTTCCGCAGTCCGCCAGGGGGCAGTCCAGACACTCCCTTTCGGAGCTGAGGCAGAAGCGAGTAATGCAACAGGGAAATTGGCGGAACCTAGAGGCTGAACACTTGCAGTTGTTAGGACTGCTTTGTGAAAAGAACACTTCCGGCCGGTGAGGACGTCTTCCCACGTGTGGTAAAAGAGGCTCCCAAAAACCATGTTTCGATTGGCTACTCTCACAGTGGGAGGCGGGCTTGCGTCGGGGTCACTCTCTCCCATTGGCTGCTGGCTCGGCGGCCGTTTGGAGTGAGGGTAGCACGTTAAATTGAAGGCTGTGCCCACAGACGCGGCACCGGGTTGGCCTCCATCCCAATTCTGGTGCGAGTCACGGGTTTGAGCAGGTCTGGGTCCCCAGGGGATGGATCGCGTGTGGAGTGCGTGGTACGGAAAGTGCGTCAAAGAGAAAGGGTCGTCGCCAGTATGGGCCCAGAGCATCGTGGTTTCCTGGCTCAGCAGGGCCGAGTGGGACCAGGTGACGGTCTATCTGTTTTGTGATGACCATAAGTTGCAGCGGTACGCGCTGAACCGCATCACGGTGTGGAGAAGCAGGTAAGGTGGCGGGCTTAACCTTTTTGCCTGCATGCTGGTGGAGCCTTGCCTCTTCCTTTGTGGAGTTCCTAAAAGGCTCTATTTTCTAGTCTAATAAATTGCCATTCTCCCAAGTGCCTGAGAGAAAGTCAAAGCCAAGCTTTTGTACTAATCCTATTTGTGGATGAAAACTAAGGGGTGTGTCTCAACAATCCTTTTGTCATATCTGTGAGGTTTAACCTTTACCTCCAAAGTGTGACCTCATTTTCTTGGGAGGGGTCCCCGAGGGACCAAAGGGGCTAAAGCCTCCTACAGTGACTTTTCAGATTCTAATTAGGGTGAGTGGGAGAGGGTATTGCTTGAAAAACCATGTTTGAGTGGGGGGTGGGGGAGAATCTCAATCTAGTTGATAAGATTGGGTTGGGGGAAGAGAAACAAGGATATGGGGCTTCTCTAGCTGAATTTTTTGAGAGTTTGAGGGTGAAAAGGGTGTGTTCTCAAGACTGATAGTGTAGCAGTTAGGTGTCCCGTGTACACCCTAGCCAGCTCTTCATGCTCTGTATTAATGTTGGATTCCACAGACATTACGCTATCTCTCCCACCTTGTTTTGTATCTTCATGTACTCTCCAGCCAGTATGTAGTGGGAATATCCTGCAGCAACCAAAATTCTGAGGTAGAGGGTGGACCAATGTAAGGGACCTTTATGATGGTGCTGGACTGTGGCCCTTTAGGTTAGGCAACGAGCTCCCCCTGGCAGTGGCTTCTACTGCTGACCTGATACGCTGTAAGCTCATGGATGTAACTGGTGGCTTGGGCACTGATGAACTTAGACTGCTCTATGGCATGGCATTAGTCAGGTAAGACCTGCATGAGGGTAAGAATGGGGGTTGGCTTTGGGAACTGGAGGGTGGTAAGCATGTGATAAAGCAGAGCTTGGCTTCAGGTGCTACCTGAAGCAAAACAAATATACAAAAAAAAAACAAAAAACAAAACACAGGTTAGTCATGGTTGCTTAAATTGACAGCTTTTGATTCCTTCTGTCAATATATTGCCCCCCCCCTCGCTTCTTTGCAGTGGTGGGGCTCAAGTCCAGGGCATTGCACATGCTAGGCATGTGCTCTATAACTGGGCCTCTTTTCTTCCCATTTCCTGAAAACCTTCTTCCATTTGTCTTTGAATGTCTATATATGGCGGGGGTGGGGGAAGGGGAAGATGATTCAGGCTGGTGATCTCCGTGGGTCTCTTCTAGTTTGTTTTTTTTTCTCTTCCCCATTAACTCCTCACCTAGAGGAATTTTTCTGAATGGTTCATTTACCCTTGGCTGTGATTTAATGTGGATTTTTTAACCTTACTCTAATCTATACCTAGTACCACCCTTTTTCCTTTTCTGTCCTTCAAGAACACTGAAAGGTTGCTCAGTTGTGGAAATGAAGACATGGGCTGGGAGTTCCTGATTTGCAAAGTGACTTACAGTGGTTCTAGCTGTGTCATACACATCAGGGGATAAAGATTTATCTCATACTGTTCCCCTTGTCTGTCTTGAGGTCCTCCCTCCTCTTATCATCTGCATCATTTACCTGTGTTTTCCATATCACCTGATATATATTATGATTTAGTGTAATGTGTCATGATTATTTATCCTAGACTGTGTCTTATTCATCTGTTTGGCTTTAGTACAGAGCAGACTAAGTAAATGTTGGAGTGGATGGAACTATGTCCACTCTGGTTGACACTACCCGTAATAACAGGGCAGTCAGTGGAAAGATTGTGGAAATGCAAGGTGTCAGTTAACCAAGCAAGGTATTTTATGTAAACAGTTGTTTTTTGGCTGTGCCACTGATTTTTCCCCTAACTCCAGGTTTGTGAATCTTATCTCGGAGAGGAAGACAAGGTTTTCCAAGCTCCCCCTCAAGTTCCTTGCTCAGGAGGTGCGTATGAAAAAAATGGCCTTGTTTAATTCTTTCTCTCCAGGAGGGCTCTCTAAATGGGGCATTGGGTAAGGGGTGCAAACAGCCAGAGGACTGTATCCCATTGCTACTAGCTATACTCAGCAGAAACTCTAGAGTTTTACCTTCCAATTTTAAAGAAGCAGAATTGCCTCCTTGCTCCTCATAACTTGTATCTCAATGGGCTTGGCCAGCCCTGCTTGCTGGGAGTGACACAGTGAAGCCAAGGAGCCTGAATGTAACACTGGGTAGGGACAGGAAAGAGATGGCAGTCAAAGCACCTACCCTTAGGGTATTTTTCAGTGCGAAAATGCCAGATACTCCTGCCCTGAGTGAGTATGTGAGCTGTGTAGAGGCCCAGAGGGCAGGTGTGTTCTCAGTTATTAAGAGAAACTTCCTGGAGGAGGTGTAAGAAGAAGGGAGGGGTAAAGGGTACCCAGGGAGAGGGAAAGGGCAGAGGGAGGCTGGAGAAGGTAATTGTTAAAGCTCACTCACAGAAATCTCTTTGTTGTAAAAGAATAATAGTTGGTGGTTGGAGGTTGCTTTTTCTGATTTTTAAGACCACCCCCACCAGAACAGTAAAATATAATCAAGAGACCTGGTTTTTAACCTTGACTGGAATCTTCCCTCAGGACCTCAGCTTCTCTATTTGTGAAATGGGAGGGATGGTCAGACTAATTAATCACTGGGTCTCTTCCAGTTTTAATATTTTCTAATTTTTATACTCACTCTCCACCTCCAAACAGGTGAACATTCCAGATTGGATTGTTGAACTTCGCCACAAGTTGACCCACAAGAAAATGCCCCATATAAATGACTGCCGCAGAGGTGAGTCTTCAGAGGGTATAACTATCACACTTAAGCCCAGGGGCCTGGGCTTTGTGGCATTTGAATTAGAGGGATAGGGAGGAGGATCTTACCTGGCATCAGGGCCAGGACTAAGGTGAAACAAGTCAGGTACTCCCTAACCACAAAATTTAAGGGGGTATTAAAAGTTCAGTAATGAAGATAAATAGCATTTTTGGAGGGTGGTCCTAGGGTTTGAACTCAAGGGCTTCACACTTGTCAGGCAAGCACTCTACCACATGATCCATATCCCCAACTGTATATGGAAATTTCAGACTTGGAGCCAAGCTTCTTGCCTAGGGCTTTCCCATAATCACAAGATGGGGCTGGAGGTATAGAAGGCCAGGATCTGTTCATTGCTTGCCTGTTGCTGGTCTTATGGCACTGCTTTCTTTCTCCTCTCCTCTAGGCTGCTACTTTGTCTTGGATTGGCTCCAGAAGACCTACTGGTGCCATCAGCTGGAAAACAGCCTAAGAGACTCCTGGGAATTGGAGGAAGACAAAGTGGACACAGAAGACCAAGAAGAAGATAAGAATACTGTTGATGACATCATAGAACAGAAACCAGAGCCTCAGGACGATGGGAAAGGTGCAGAGTTGGATATCAGGGATGATGGAGACAGTAAAGGCAGTGAAGAGGTGGATTCTCATTGGGAAAAGGCTCTGAAACATAAGGAGTTGTATGGTAGGTGTGCATGGGGATAAAGAGGGGCCCATGAGCTTGGAAGGCTCATGCTTAGGGTTAGCCCTGGTTATTTCCCTGGCTCAGCATTTCCTGTGGGCTGTGGTGAGTTCCAGCTTGAAAAATTACTGTCACAAACCATCTTGGCTGGTTTCCATGATGTAGTGGTTATTATCACAATTGTCTCACAAACCATTTTCCTTGAGCTCTGTGAAGTAGGTGGGGAAGGAATTCTAGGTCTCAGTTTACAACTCAAGAAATGAGGTGAGAGGCTCAGAATCCCAGCAGGAGCTAGGGCTGGGCTGACTACCCTATCTCTCCCCATTCTGTTTTCAGAAAAAGCCCGAGAACTTTTGGTATCTTATGAAGAGGAGCAGTTTAAGGTAAGAAAGTGCCCTTGACCTGGCATGTTCTCTCACCTGCCCCAGCCATTTCTTCCCTCTTGCCAGCTACCTGAGAGAGAAGTCTTGAGAAAGAATTTGAAAGAAAAGTGGCAAAGCATGAGGGAACTTCTCGGAAAGAGAGAGGGGGGAACTAGAAAGGAGACAAGAGTTGCAGAGTTCAATCGGATGATCCTCCACACCGATGGAAGGGAGCAGATGATGAAGTTTGTGGATAATCTACCCTATGGGTGGTAGGGAACTACTGGGAATGGGTAATTGTACAACCCTGAAATTCTGCAGCTAACCAGCAGGTGGGGTCCAAGAGCTTCCCTATATCAGGTCAGCTGGAGGGTGTTATTAGTAGAAAGGGGATCACTTAGTTCAGAAACCATTTAGTTCAACCCTTTCTTTTCATGCAAAGAATTGAAGCTATGGATGAATGAAAGGACAGAACCAATGTTACATATACAGTTAATGATAGAAACAAAATAAGAACTTGGATCTACTGATTCCCTTCCTTCTATAACCCATTACCTCCCCTCATTCCTTACTGTTTGGCCTAAAGGTCTTTGCCCATTTTCAACCAAATGCTCCCATTGGCCATCTCAGTTTTGGGATAGCTGATGATTGGGAGCCACAGGGTCTGGTTATTGTTAGTTGCTGAGCCAGTAGGGGAGTTGTAGGCCCACCCCTGCATGCCCTGTTCTGTCCCCTGAAAGGCAGTGCTGAGTTCCTATGGGAAGGGCTACTGGAGGGTTTGGAGGTGGGTTGCCTGGCTGAATCAGCATTCTAATGGGGTCCTCTTTGCTGGCAGGTGCTGGAGAAATATAGGTATTTACCTCAGGCCGTTAAAGTGTGGAATAACCTCTCCCCACGTGTAGACTGGATCCTGGCAGAGCTCAAGGGCATTATATGGGAGAACAGGTGTGTAACTAGGTAACCAGGGCCTACTTAGGGTAGAGGGTAGCAACCTCATTGAAATTGTTTTCCATATCCTAGCTTGCCAACCTCTGCTATGGGAGATCCCAGTGGAATCTTGACCATCTCCCACACATGGTGACTCTGTCTTCTGTTTTTTAATTTTTTTCTTTTTTATTAGTGTATATTAATTGCACAACGGGGTTTTATTATGATATTTATATAATGCATACAAGGTGCTGTGATCAAATTCACCCCCTCTATTACCCTTTCTTATCCCTCCTTTTTAAAATAATTTTTAATAAGTTTCACTATACACATATGAAGTACTTCGATCATATTCAACCCCCCTTCACCTTCACACTCTCCTTTCACTTTCCTCCCTCTTGCTGGTTCCACCTCATTTTATACTTGTAATGACCCTGTCTTCTGTATGACCTTATACCCCATTCTTGCCAGCTACCAGGTGGAGTTTACCTACTGTAAGTCACTAGAATGGTTGAAGGTAGTAATGTCCATTGTTATCCATTCCCTGGTTAGCCTCTTTCAGGTGTGATAAGGAGTTCTTGGCAAGTAGGAAAAGCCTGTGAGCCTTAACACCTCACTGCCTAGCCCTTGGGTATTACTGATCCTTTCTTTCAAACAACTGTTGGAGGGTGTCAGTATCCCTTGGGTAGTCGTGGTTGTGGGGATAAAGGAGTAGCTGTTTCAGGTCCCTAGAGACTGTTTATTCCTCTCTCAGTATGGCCATGGGTCTTCTTTTTTTTAAAACCCCAAATAGTGCTCATTTCGGTCAGAGCAGACAAGAAGTATCTTTATGCATTTCTCTCTCCCTTGCTCTTGGGAGGTATTCTGCCTAAATTCAGTTGGGAAGGGCTTTGGGGAACTTTTTACTTAGAGCCTGTGGAAGTGGTCTGGGGGGTATAGCTCAGTGGTAGAGTGCTTGCTTATCATGCATGAGGCCCACCAGAAAAAAAAAAAAAACTCAGGGAGACAATGCTAGACATTACATCTAGGGGAGTTGGAAGGAATCAGATGGAGCAGTGTTAGGTGGTGTAGAAAGCAGAGTAGGCCAGGACAGACCCTGAAGTGTAGGCCGAGATTGCCTCTGTAGTCTTCTCTTCATTCCCAGGATAAGACTAGTTCCAAAGGTATTTTATCAGACTCTATGAATCTAGGCTTCTTGGCTCTACCCTTTAGCAAAGGGGTGGGTGGCAGTTCTCTCAGAAGTTGGAAAAACTATTGTTGTGCCCTACACAGTAGGATCTGTCTAAGTAGTGCTGAGCAGGCATGGAGCAAGTGGGCTGCTTTAAGTGTTCTTCTTTGGGTACTCACCTGAGGAGAAGAGGGATAGATGGAAGGACAAGTACTTTCATATCAAGCGTGGTTAGCTGGATCTGAGTGTGGTGTCAGCTCTCCAGGCATTGGGACATCTTGGAGCTCTTTTCCTCCTTCTGTGCCTGGTCAGCTAGGAGAGGCTCCTTGGGAATCTACTAGCTCTGGAGGAATCAGCTTGCAGTTGCTGGTTTAGGTTGGAGCTAGATGGGAATGAGAGGTTATCCCTATAAGCCAGTTTCTTGAATTCCTCTAACTTTGTTCTGGGTCCTTGGGCATCCCTAGTTATAAGAAGACCTATGAATCATGTTCTGGCAAGCAATCAAGTCCCAAAGGTATCTATTTCTAAGATTTAAAAGAAGGCAGCCACAGAGAAGGGCAGGCATAGAGGACTAGAGAATGGTCATAAGAAAGATTTCAGGAGTTAAATTCTAAAAGCTCTTACCCATGTACCTAAGTATTTTACTCCTTCCTCTGTGGGCCTGGGACTTTTCTTCATTTGTATTTTGAAGTTTGTTCAGCCACTGCTGTCCTTAATTGTGGGCCTTAGAACAAGATGTGTGTTCAGAACCCACTGATCCCAGACTCTGGTCTGGCCCTAGCCTAAGATCCATTTGTCACCTGCCCCATGCTTTGGCCACTTAAGCTTAGCGACATTGGCTGCCTTGGGGCTGTGGGAATAAGTGAGAGTTCTCCGTCAGCTTTAGTTTGCAAAACTGTTGTTCTTTTTTTTTTTTTTTCCAGTGCTGGGGATCAAACCTAGGACCTCATGCATGCTAGACAAGTGCTGTAGTATTGAGCCACACCCCAGCCCTTTCCTCAAGTCATTTCAGCTTTAAGTAACCAGATCAATCCAGCATTTTGGAAATGCCACATTTTTTTTTTGAGACAGGGGTCTCATCACATTGCCTAGGTTAGTCTCAAATTCCTGGGCTCAAGCAGTGCTCCTGCCTTAGCCTCCCAATACTTGGGACTAAAGGTGTGTGCTACCCTGCCTAGGTAAACTTTCTTGTTTCAGGAATGCTGTGCTGGATGCGTTTTTGGATGATGGCTTCCTCATTCCCACATTTGAGCAGTTGGCAGCTTTGCAGATAGAATATAAAGGTAGGATCCTGGGGGCTCATTGCAATTCTAGGGTTCTGTATTTACTGAGTGGGAACACCAGTGGTGGGCTGGGGAGCTCTGGGTGGGAGAATGGAAGTCCCTTAGCCTTCCTGGCTGAGGAGGACAGGTAGCCCTGCTGACATGCAGTTGGACTGTCCTTAGATGGCCCGGAATTGGTTAGGGTGGTGTGGGGAGGGTAGGGTGGGAAAGTCTTAACACCATTATTGTGCCATGTTAATTGTGATTTAGTCACTAGCTAGAGCGCTAGAACAGCAGCACTGGAAGGGCCTTATGAGGTCATCTAGCTCAACATCCTCATATTACAGATGATCATACTGAGGTCCAGAAAGGGGAAAGTACTGGCCCAAAGTCACACAGTGAGTTACTGATAAAGCTAAAGCTAGAACCAGAGCTCTTTTTCCTTTTTATTTTGAGTCAGTTGTTGGTTTCTAGACACTAACTGGTTTCTCTTTCCCTGCTGTTCTGCTGTCTTCTTTCCTCCCATTCTGCGGTGGCAACCCTGTTGGTGGTGGGGCTCGCGCGTGCATCTTCTCTCTCTTGCTTGCTTTTGTGCTCTCTCTCTCTTTCTCTCTCATTTTCTTGCTCCAATTGCCCTCCCCTTCTGTCAACGGGTATCCCTCACAAACCAGAAAACATGGATTTGGATGACGTCTTGGTGCCAAAGCCGTTCTCTCAGTTCTGGCAGCCCCTGCTCAGGGGCCTGCACTCCCAGACCTTCACACAGGCCCTGCTGGAGAGGATGTTCTCTGAGCTGCCATCCTTGGGAGACAGTGGGATCCGGCCCACCTACATCCTTAGATGGACCATTGAACTGATCGTGGCCAACACCAAGACTGGTGAGGGAGACCAGCCCTAGCCCCAGGGCCTAAGGCAGCCCAGGCAGGAGCATCTGCCACTGTCCTCAGCTCTCTGTTGAAAAGCACCAGGCAGACACCTCCCTAACTGAAGGTTTAGGTTTGCCCAAGAGGGTTCTGCAGCCAGCAGTGGACAGATCTCCCTCTTCCTTTTTCTTCTCAGAGCCATCTAAACTGGGCCGGGGCAAAGCACCCTGAATGCTTTGAGCAGTTGGGAGGTATAGGGTGGGGAAACTGGTGGGGTGGGGGGAGGATGGGAAGGGAGGGATAGAGCCAAACTTTTTGAGGTGAAAGATTGGGTGGGGGGCTCACGGGTTTCTTTTCCTCAGTGTCCTTCTTCTTTCTCTCAGGACGGAATGCTCGCCAATTTTCTGCAAGCCAGTATGAAGCAAGAAGGAGCTGGAGACTTTTCAACTGCTCCACCTCCCTTGACTGGCCCCAGGTGGTTGAGTCCTGCTTGGGCTCACCTTGCTGGGCTAGCCCCCAACTCCTTCAGCTGTAAGTCTTTTGAATTCCATCTGGTAAGAGAGTGAGGCCCTGGAAGCCTTGGGGCCACACAGCCCTAGACTGGCCAAGTTGGAAGGCCCTTTTGAGGACATCTAGTCCAGTCCCCCTCCCATTGCAGATGGGAGAGCTGAGTCCAGAGAGGGGAGGGGTAGGGTATTTTTGCCTGAGATCATTCAGCTTAAGACTTGGCTGAACTGAGTCCAGCATGAGAATGCTTAGCACAGTGGCCTACACAGAGTAAGTGCACAATAAATGGTAGCTGCTGTTTATTATTGAACCCAGGTCTTCTGACTCTAAGCCTAGTGCTATCTCCTCTATTATCTTCCCAAAATATATAGTTGCTCAACAACTGACAGTGGCTCCCTATTGCCTTCCTGGTAAAGTGAAGGCTTCCTAGTCTGACATTCAAAGTTCTTTCTGATTCTGGCCCTACCTATCCTGGTAACCATATCTCCTTCAAGTCCCCTTTACCCACACCACTCTGGGTTCTGTGGTCAAACGGAATATTGCACTGGTTCCTGTAAATATCTGTGGTTGTCTCCCTTTCTTTTTCTCGTCATTTCCTGACACCCCAACCACATCCCTCATTCTCATGGACGCCATCAGCACCCAATTGATTCTCTTTCTACTTTCTGGAATAATACCTGTTTCATTTGGGCGATCCATCTGACACTCTAGCTCCTCAACCCAGTGATTTTTCAGTCTCCACTACACCCAGCAGCCCATTTCCATGTCTCAGAGCTGTTCCACCTCTGAAAGCTGACATCCTAGCATCCCACTCGGTGACCACAACCTCTTGTCTTTCTGCTTATCATCCTCGCATCCCATGACACCTGCTCTTTGCCTGCACTCAAACCTCCCATCCTCTTTCCCTCTCCCTCCATTTCCTCCTCCCTCTACCTTGCTTTTCCCTAGACCTGTCTGTGCTTGATCACTTCAGTCACTCATCAGCACCCTCAGATCTGCTCATCCTTTGGCTGTGTCTGACTTGCAAACCCCCAAGCTGGGATTGATCCTCCCCACTCTGCTTCCCCTGCTCCTCAGCCTGGGTAGCTGAGCTCTGCTGGAGAAAACCACATAGCCCTGCGGATTGCTGCCACTGCAGAGGTATGATGTTTAATCTCGGGCCAGGCCTCAGTTCTGCTTGTCTGAACTTTTACTTGTTTTCTGACCACTTTCTCTCCTGTTCCCTGACTATTCTAAACCCTTATCACTCACCTCAAGCCCCCCCCCATTTCACCCTAGCTTCCTCAAGCACATGGAGGCATCCAACAGGGCCCCCTCGACCTGAGGTCCAGCCCTCGTGAACTGATCTGCGGCTGCAGTCAACCTTCTCGCCAGTCTCAGGATGAGGTGGCCTTAACCTGCCTCAAAGCCTGCTCCTCCACCTGTGCTCTGGAGCCACCTCTGCCAGCATCACTGGGGCCTCACTCCAGCCTCTCCCTTGCTCTGCTGGCTCTGGCTCTTGCTCTTCAACTTATGAATGTGTCTGAGTTTTTCTCATCTTAAAACAAAACGAAACAAACAATAATAACCACAACACAAGCAAATCTGCTTTGACCTTGAATCCCTTTGTTGGGTTATCACCAGCTTAGCACTCCTTCCCCTCCCATCTCAAAAGAGCAGTCTTCACTCAGTAGTCTCAGTTTCCTCACTACCCTCTTACTCAACCTGCTGCAATTTGGTGTTCACCCCTAGAACTGCTTTGGTCTAATTACCAAATCCAGGGACCCATTTCAGTCTCTGTGTCTGTAGCATTAATGCTGTTTATCACTCCCTCCTAGAAAATGCCTGTGCTCATTGCTATTTCCTATGAACTGCCAAGGCCTAAATCTCCTTAACCCAGCTTTCCCCCCATAATTCAGCCTTCTGTACTCAACTGCATGCCAAACTTCTCCCCTTGGATGGCCCATAGGCACCCTATTGTGACCAAGAGAGAATTGGTCATCTTAATCCCCATCCCAACCCCAAAGTGATCTTCCTCCTCCTTTGTTCCCAATCTCACTTGGTGGTGGTACCATCTACCCTGTCCTGTTGACTCCTGAGTACTTCCCAAATCTGAGATTTTTGTGTTGCTGTGTCTACTCCCATAGTGTCTCCTTCCCTGTACCAGACTAGGCTTTTCAAGGACAAGGGCTATGCATTAATTATCTGTGCCTCAGCACACCACACAAATGTAGGCCTCAGCGAATGTCATCAAAGTGAACTGTGCTCTGCTGTCTCCTTGGTAGCAGCACTGTCCTTGGTGGGAGCTGACCCAGTGACTGAGGGATGAATGAAGTGGGAGACTGGATGCCAAAACCCTCTTAGTCCCCTGATCACCTTTTTCAGTACAAAGTTCTTTCTTGAATCCTTATGGCATTTGGAGCACAGTAGTTTTTATAGGATTTTAAAAAAGTGACCTCATAGACAATCTCAGCCAAATCTCCTCTAGGAGATGAGTGTGAACCAAACAGCCTCACTGCCAGATGTGTGTGCTCTAGACTAGAACCGACAAAGATGGGTGGGAAACTGGGAGGAGAGCCAAAAGGGATTGGCGGAGTCAGGATGGAGCATCAAAGAGGCATTTGAGCAGTTCAAGTAGGGAAAATAAAGGAAGTTTCAAAGTACAGAAGGAACATAGTGTATGTACTGGTGAGAGGGAGTGAAAAGAGCAGCATGGAGAGGTTTGGATAGGTGGCCTTCAAGGTACTTTCCAATCCTAAGCGCCTGCAGAATGGAAGCTGCTGGTCTTGGAGAAGTCTGGACCACAGAGATCTTCTCCCAACCCAAGCATGCCAGAGGGATGCGACACATGCCAGCAGTAACAGCGGCTCACTTGGGTACGATTCCTTGTGCACAGATCTTGCCTTCCCCAGATAATCAGTTAATTTAGACCTAATCACCCCATTACCCAGAGTGGGAATTAGAGGGTAGGGGGGATGTGCCCAGGTATGCTGCAAGTCAGCTGGGGCCAGAATCCAGGAAGTCCTTAGTCCTGTGCTCTTCAGTAATGTTCCACTAGATCGTACTATTTCAGAAGGCATCCATTATTAGATGGATACAGAACTTGGCTTTTGTTTTTCCCAGAGAAAAAAATAAAAGATGCCACTGGCAATTAAGTGTCAGGCATGGTGCTGTGGTTTTTTGCACAGGTTATTTCATTTAATTTGACATAGCAATCTTGGGAGGTGGAAGTATGATACCTTTCTTTGACAGATAAGACATTGAGGGTCTGAGGAATGAAGTGGCTTATCCAAAAATCACATGGTTTGTTGACAGTGGGATAGCGATCTGGGCCTGGGTCCCGTGAGTCCAAAGTCCACCTGCTTTATATCATCCTGAGTCCCTGATCTCAGTCCTGAGCAGTGAGTAGGCACACTTGTGGAAAGAGGTACATTTACAGTGCCTATCACCCCTGCACCTTAGTGGGCAGGCTAGACAGCTGGAGGTAGCAGGTGGGTAATAATAAATAGCGCTGATAAGGCATCTTGCCAGGATCAAGTGCCTGAGAATATTTATTATTAATCATGCTAATGGGCCACTTGGAATATGAAATTAACCCCACAGAGAGGATCTCCCAGTTGAGTCACCAGCCCCCATTCCTACCCCCACAGATTCGTGACCATGCATATGTGTCCAAACTGCATGCCCAAGGGAGAACACAGCCTGCTGGGTGTACAGTCCCTCCCTGCACCAGGCACAGTGCATGCTCATGCATGCTCATACACCTAGAAGGACATTCCCCATCCCTCCACCCTGCCTGTGGGTCCAGCAGTGCCAAGTGCCTGATAGGTGCCAGGTTTTAGGTGAGGCTCCCTGAGGTGTGCTCGCCTTCTTCCTCCCCAGAAGCTCTTTATCTGTTGGAGCGGTAGTTTTGCTGTTAGCGCCGTCTTTTGTGTGCACAATATCATCATGTTTAATTCTCTGTCTGACCCTTGCCATTGGTCACCAAGCCCTGCTCTCTGTCTGTCTGTCCTTCACAGCTTCCCTCCCTCCCATCTCCGCTGTCAGTGTCATATGTCAGCCCTCTCTGACTCTGGCCTGAGCTGTCCCAACAGGCTCCTCCTCCAGGCTGCCTCCAAGGTGCCCTGCCCAGGCCATCTCTACATGGCCATCCTCCCCATGGTCACCATGGTGATCTTTATAAACTTCAACTTTCCCATGCTCATAGCTGGCAGGTGACCCACACACCCAACACACACACTTCCCTCCCGGCCTTCTCTTCCTCCCACGGCTCCTCAGCACAGGCCTTGCCCTCTAGCCAGGCTACTCTCACCACATGCAACAAGGAACAGCTTGCTCTTGTCTCTGGTCCTCCTGGGCCTCACCTGTACAAAGTCCTCCCTCATCTCCCTCCTTGTGCTCTTTGTCTCCTCCCAGCTCCTGTAGTGCCCACAGTCGGTCCACAGTGCTCATTGGGCCTTCCTTTCACATCCTGCTTTGTCTTGTCAATTGCTGCTTTTTTATTTCTTTTCCTCCATTCCAGGCTGGGCTGTAGCTGCTTCCATAAAGAGATTACACATTGTGTTCTATGCAGAAGGAGCCCAGCACACTTCCAGGCATATCGTTGGAGCTCTGGACAGATTGCTCAGCTAGGCCCTGAGGGAAGAGGGATCTGCCATTCTCATTTCCAGCCCTGTAGGCCTATTGGCTAGTTTGTGTATCTATGTAGTGTTTCAGTGCAGACTAATGGCTATCATTTATTGCATGCCCACTATGTGCCAGGCACTGTGCCAGGCATTCTATGAATTTTCTTATTTCCTCATCCCAAGAACTCTAGGAATTAGGTATTATTATTGTCCTCATTTTAATATGAGAATGGAAATGAGATGAACCACAGAGCTTGTTCAGGGTCCTTGGTCTTTATGTTTTTACATTCTTTCTGCCTTACTCTACTGCCTTTGAGAGGCAGGTATGGAAGCTCAGAGAACGCATTCAAACCTTGGAGTGTTGGGATATGAAATGACTTGAGATTTTTAAATCTTTCCTACCCCATCCCTCCGTTTGCTTAGCGTCTTCAAAGCCATGGGACAGGTCCTGCCAGACGGGGAGCAGGAGAAGCTGCTGCGCATCTGTTCCATTTATACTCAGAATGGAGAAAACAGTTTGGCAAAGGAGGGATCAGAGGCCCCTCCTACTGGAAAATGCCCATTCACACTGGACAGCCTGTACTGGGGTCTCAAACCAGCTGGCTCCAATTGTGGGTCTGAAGAAAAGGCCCAGCAGCAGGAGGCGCATGACATCCTTAATGATGTGAAGCATGAAGAGAAGGAGGAGAAAATGGTTCTGCAAGACCAGATGGAGGAGGAAGAGGAAGAAGAAAATGATGACCTGGAAGAAGAAGAGGAGGATGAAGGCGATGACGATGAAGATGATGACGATGATGAAGACGACGACGACGACGACGACGACGACGATGACGATGATGGCGATGATGGTGGCGGTGAAGAGGAAGACAGAATGGAAGTGGGCCTTTTTTCTACTGTGCAGGAGTCTCCCACTGTCGAGAGAGCCAGGCTCCTGGCCCAGAAAAGAGAAGCTTTGCAGGGCTCTGTATGGCAAGTTAGCTCAGGTAAGGAATCTGATACCCACTTTCTCCCCTCACTGATATCTTCTCTCTCTGGCTCTTCCTGTCCTCCCCCCCTCCCCAGACCAGGTTTTAGGGCTTTGAACTTGTAATCCTCTTGCCTTACCCTCCTAAGTGCTGGGATTATAGGCATGTAATACCATGCTTGCTTCATTTATTTTTTAGGTAGAGTCTCACTGTGTTGCCCAGGCAGTCTTAAACTGGTAGGCTTAAATGATATCCTCCTGTCTCAGCCTCCCAAAGTGGTGGGACTATAGGTGCCTGCCACTATGCTCTGATTCTGGCTGGTTCTTGAGGCTTCCCTTCACTCTAGCCAGGGGCAGGGGGTGGTGCAGCCAGGTACATGGATGACAGGTGGCTTCCCTCCCTTTTAGGATGGACTATGTGAGTGCCAGGGACCACTGTCAGGCGGTTTCATGTAGAGAGCACATTCATAGGGGATGGTGTAGGTGTGGGCCCCAGGCAGGAGAAAGCTATAGAAGCTACAGGCAGATGTGTATATGTATATGATTCTGCACATGTTTTCCTGTACAGCAAAAGTGTTTTTTTATATACACATGAAGGTTGGCTAGTGGTAAGACAGGATTTTACTGTGTGTGTGAGAACAAACTCGGGGCATTGATTCAGAGAAACTGGAAGTGAGATCAGAAGAGTGAATAAAAAATGGTGTGGATTTTAGGTGTTCACATAAGTTCATGAGCCCAAACTGGGGGTGCCGGGAGGGTTGGTGATGGGGAGTGGGAGCCCACATCTGCTCCTCTGAGGGTAATTTTTTGAATGCTTTCATTAAGGCTTGGGAGCAGGAACCTCAAGGAAGGCAGCCCCAGAAATAGTAGAATAGTTTGGCATGTGTGGGCATCACCCTAGAGGCATGGTCTGGCCTGTGTGCTAAAGCCTGTAAAAGGGAAAGAAAACAGCTGAGTCTGGTAGAGAGCAAGGTGGAAACAGAGGGCTGTCAGTGAATGAGCTCATGGAGAGAAGCGTAGCCTTTGCTCTTAAGTGGACAGGTATGGAATGGCTGGAGCATAAAGGCCGGGATGGGAGTGCTAGGGGTGGGTGAACGTATTTGTGTGTATGCGTGTATAAGTGTGTGTTTGTACCTGCTAAGTAAATTGGCACAGTGATAGAGAAATCTCTTAGGGCAAGGAAGGCTGTATTTGGGGTAGGGATTCTTTGTACATAGCAAAAGGGAAGAGCAATGGTACTGGAAGAACTATGTATCCGTGTGAGTGTAATGTAAGAAAGAGAAAAGGGGCAAGTAAGGAGAAGTCACTGTGAAGCAGACAGTAGTGCAGCTATGTGTACATACATTTGTGGTCATCTGTGTTTTCCAAAGAAGAGGCAAAGTCATTGAGACCCATGCTAAGAGGTATCTGTAAGAAGGAAAGAAGTGACAGCAATGAAAGATGGGAGCATCTGAATGGGCATGGGAACAGGCCCATTCAGAAATGGCCTGTGTGTGCTGTCACTGAGGAGAGGCGTACAAAAGTGTTGGACTAAAGAGGCAAAAATAGTAATATATAGTCAGGTTTGGGGATTTTCACAATGTCAGGTCAGTGCCAGACAGAGCCCCTGGGGGTGACCCCTGTGAGGGATGGTATCTTTGTATCATAGGGCAATGAGGGATATTAAGATAGACATAACTGCCTGTAAGAGCCAGAGGTAGAGAGATGAGCAGGCAGAGGCAGAATGGTTCTTCGGGTGTGTGTGTGTGTGTGTGTGTGTGTGTGTGTGTGTGTGTGTGTGTTTCTGAGGACAAAACTCTCTGCCACTGAGCTACACCCCAGTCCATCTTTTTCCAATTTTAGAAAATTTTATTTTGGTGGCACTGGGGTTTGAACTCAGGCCTCATGCTTGACAGGCAGGTGCTCTTACCACTTGAGTCATTCCACCAGCCTCATTTCTAAATTGACATAGTAGTTTTACATATTTATG